TTATCTACAAACTTCCAAGATGGCCGCCAGAATGCAAGATGGCTATCGGAAAGTTAATCAGCTCTATAACTTCTTACTATATAACATGTGTGAAAATTTGAGGTAAAACTGTTACGTGGTTTTCCTGGAATCGTGATGACAAGATTTATCTAAAAACTTCCAAGATGGCCGACAGAATGCAACTTGGCCACCGAAAAGTTAATCAGCTCTAGAACGTCATACATGTAACATGTGTGAAAATTCGAAGTAAAACTGTGAAGTGGTTTTTCTGAAATCGTGATTACAAGATTTATCTATAAACCTTCCAAAATGGCCGCCAGAATGCAATGTAACATGTGTGAAAATTTGAAGTAAAACTGTTACGTGGTTTTCCTGGAATCGTGATGACAAGATTTATTTAGAAACTTCCAAGATGGCCGACAGAATGCAACATGGCCACTGAAAAGTTAATCAGCTCTAGAACTTCATACCATGTAACATGTGTGAAAATTTGAAGTTAATCTGTTGGGTAGTTTTCCTGGAATCACGATGACAAGATTTATCCCCAAATTTCCAAGATGGCCGTCAGAATGCAAGATGGCTGCCGAAAAGTTATTCACCCCTAGATTTTCTTACCATGTAACATGTGTGAAAATTTGAAGTAAATCCGTTTGGTTTTCCTGAAATCATGATGACAAGATTTATCTTAAAACTTCAAAGATGGCCGCCAGAATGCAAGATGGCCACCGATAAACAAATGAGGTCGAGGACTTTTTATCATAGAACATTTGTGAAAATGTGAAGTACATCTGTAGAGTGATTTTTCTGGAATAACGATGACAAGATTTATCTAAAAAAATCCAAGATGGCCGCCAGAATGCAAGATGGCCGCCGGAAGGTTAATCAGCTCTAGAACTTCGTTACATGTAACATGTGTGAAAATTTGAAGTAAATCCATCTGGTGGTTTTCTTGGAATCGTGATGACTAGAAAATGAGACTTCAGAATACCACCTTGTCTAACCCCATTTTGGTGCCTTTTGCCCCTGTTTCTATCAATAGAAGAGGTGTTTTCTTGAAGAGGGAAGTCTGTTCTTTCAAACGGTACAATCATTTTATGTGGGAAAGCACCGGACAATGAAACCTTTTTTCAGAGGGTCCAGATCAGGGACTACAATGGATGCACTGAAGAAATAGTTACAGAAATGGCAATATTCATATCAATGAGTTGAATTTTCAGGTAGCTAGCAAGGCGCTTCAGGTTCCCTGCGAAAGGATCCACATCCTTGAAACAAATACAAACTGTATTCCAAACGCTCTTCCTACAGCAGCCAGCCATGGATCAGATCTCTTTGGTATGGCTGTCAAAGTGAGTTATATTGCATGAATTGTGTTCCAAATGCCCTTGCTAAAGCAGCTAGTCATTGATCGGATCTCTTTGGTAGGGCTGTCAAAGTGAGTTATATTGCATGAATTATGCTCTTGCTACAGTAGCTAGTCATGGATCTGCTCTATTTTGTATGGATGTAAATTGAGTTCCAAACGCTCTTGCTACAGCAGTCAGTCATGGATCGGATCTCTTTGGAATGGCTGTCAAAGTGAGTTATATTGCATTAATTGTGATCCAAATGCTCTTGCTAAAGCAGCTAGTCATGGATCGGATCTCTTTGGTATGGCTGTAAAAGTGAGTTATAGTATATTGCATGAATTTTATTCTTAATATATAATAATATATATTGAATTGTGTTCCAAACGTTCTTGCTACAGCAGCTAGTCATGGACCATATCTCTTTGGTATGGTCTCAAGTATCACGTGGATGTACACATAAACCAAGGGACAACGAACCAAGTGTCTTAGATCGCATAACTAAATAATAAGAATTGTCAATGTCAATAATAAGAATTGTCAATTGTCAAGATGAAGAATGACTATAATATAAAAATGTTTTGTGCATGTATGTATACAGCTATAATTTTCTATTTTCCAGGATGCCTGCGAAAAGTTGGTCGTTCGATTGAAACCGTATAAACAAAAAAATCTTGACAAACCATGGGAGAAATGGGTAAATGCTTAAAAATTTATTTTTGGGATGATATCTCTGCTTATCACTGTCAAACATGTTTTTTCACCTGTTATAACCTGTGTATAAAGGATAGTGCCAACTACACTTATCTGCTGAAAATAAAGTGTCATGAAACAAGCCAATGGATGGAATAGCGCAATCTTTGTGATTGACGAATACCTAACATACCAGATCATATCAACAAAAGAACATAATTTCTCCATTAGGAATTAGCATAAAATTTCTACAACCATACATTTCGTATATCAGTCAAGCCGAGTAATTAAGTCAACATTCGAAAATAAAAATCTCAAAAATCGTACATCTTTGATTTTCAAAATAATTTGTGAGGTGGCTATTAAGACGATTATACACATTTTAACGTATTAATTTTGAGTACATCTCGAATCCATTCTCAACAAAGCGTTCTCGAAATAAGTGTTCGAAATATTTGAGTTCGGGATGATAAAAGTACGTTAAGATATACCGCTCCTTAACAAACTCCTTTGGGAACAAGATATAGAATCATATGCATATTCTTCTTGTTTACTCGCTGACACATAACAACGAATGTTACATAAGTAAATATCTCCGTTTTGAATAATTTTGTAAACGTTGTTCTCTACAGGTGCCATTTTTATAATTGAAAAACAAAATTGAACATTTTGCATTTCTAAATTGATAAGTTTCTTGGGATACAACTTAACTGTTAACGATTTAGGTCATTAATAATATTTCCCTAAGTGATCCCATGCTAAATAGACAGTAATTAGGTCATTGTTTTGTGTTCAACCTTGTTTGCATGACTTTTAAACATGAGTCGACAATTATGTAGGAAATTTCAATTCCAAATGTAAGCGTGACAACTCCTGTTTTTGCACAAAATTTAGCCTTTTAGAATGATAGATCGCCAAAATCTGCATGTACCTCTCAATGAGGCGACACGTTTTTAAATGTATAGATGCTGGGCTATAAACTCAAACAAAATTCAAACCACCCGCTATTATTTTGATTACACAAGACGAAATTTCTACTCCCGGGGAGCACTGTGGTAACACTTTGAAGGAGGATTCTTGAAAAATCGTTCACATTTTCACAAAAGGTTTCACACAATTTTATTGCTTTGTTTAAGCCTCCACTAATATCATACTCAAATCCGATACCATAATTATGAATTAAAATGAAACATTAAACTCACCAGGTTATTTGATAAACCGTTTCGAGAGTTGATGATTTGAGTTAACTGTGGATATTTATATAAATGTAAGTCGGCATGCATTTGACAATTAATGTACACACATGATGTATATGCATCAACGTGTGACTTAAATATCAATTCGTGACTATCATATTTGGCTTTCAAAAATTAAGTTGGAAGTTACAGTGGTTGGAGATTAACAAAAACGTCAATCACATCCAAATATCCGAACGACGTCAAGTATTAGCAATACACTTTTAGTGCATCTCGAAAGAGGCAATGTTCTTTGATCCAGCAATGTGCATTCCGAAAGAAAAAATTCACAAATATCAACAAATTTCATTGAGTTGGATATTACATTCGAAATCACAACTTTCGAAATATTTGTTTTAACCAAGAATTGTAAGAACTTAAAACATGTTGTTAGTTTTTCAAACCGCACATCCTCATTTACGTTCTTTAACAAGGATGCATTCATCTGAAAACATGGATTTTCTTGATTATTCTTCAAAACTACCCTTGAAATATAAGTATGTGGGATATTACAGTGTAAATTGACACGCATTTTTTTGCTCCATATCATGAAAAAATAGATGCAGTACCATCTTTCAATATTTGAAAACAGAAAGTTCATTCTGTATGTAAACAAGAAAAAATACATAATGGTTGATTCATAATGAAAAATGACCAATAACATACATCTTTTGAAGTAGGGGTATACAGGGACATAGTGGAAATTCAGAAATTTAGGCCATATCCCCAAGATTGCTTCACCAATATGTAACAGAACATCTTTATCATTTACACGTTTGCTGATAGGTTAATTGAAAATAATTAAACAGAGGTTTACTTCAATTGTGGCACCATTCTTAGTTAATATTGATGAACATACGAATATCGAATGTTGACTAAGTTACTTGGCTTGACCGATATGCGTCCAGTCGCATTTAGTGCTACTGAACATACGGTCATTTAAACATGCATGCTGACATTTTTAGGTGATAGATGCGTATCTGGACTCCACTAATCTCTCGGCTGCTGGATTCTATGATCGGGGACCGCAACATTACCAGAATTTTAATAATCCATATGATGGTGGAAAAGGGCCCCAATATTTTGTGTGTGGCGCAACCGTTGCTGAGGTTGAAGTTGATTGTCTTACAGGAGCTAATAGAGTAAGTGACGTTATTAATTATTAATTATACTCAGGCATATTTCAAATTTTGACGTTCGAGGTTCTCAGCATGAATGTTTTCATTTTAGAGCATTTTAGAGCGTCCTTCATAGGTCAAAACGTTAAAAGTAAGCCGTCACGCGTAACATTTTAGGAGCGCGATATTTTTCAAAATGATGTAGAATCATTATTTTTTCATCAGTTTTGATGATGCAGGTAGGAATCAATTCCTGGGACAATGATCTTTATTACGGGGTCATTAAATTTAAAGTAACAGTGGAATATGACGCTGATTTTTCACCTTCAAACGAAATCACAGGACCGTCACGCTGGACACTTTGCCGACCCCTAGACAAGCAAAATGCAATTTATTTTAGAATTAATTATTTTTAAAGGTTGAAATTAAAAGTGGAAACAAGGTTTTGGCTAAAATTAACAAATCTGAAGAAAAATATGAGATATCGAATGATACTTAGGGTATGAAAAATGTCCCATTTAGTATTTTTTAGCTTAAAATGCGTAAATCCAGCCGTCATGTACGCGCATTAGAACTAAAAAAAATATATCAAATTAAAAACATTTTAGATATAGATTTTTAGTATATTTTATTCGTGGAAATTTTCAAACACTTCCAAACATGAAGAAGCGCTGAAGAGAATGCTCATCTGTTACTAGATCTAAACAGTGAGACCATTGTACATAATTAATCTAAAAACGTTCTCTGCGTTTGTGCTGCCGAAATTTCCGTGAAAACAAAGCTTCTTCCAACTTTGTTTGGTGATTCGAATTTTACAGTCTAACATGTCAATTGCGTCAATTGCGTTCTGTGACACACTAATTTCAAATATCAAAATATCATTTCCACTTAAAACAGAAATGTTTACGCATTTCATTTTGTAGCATAACTGCAGTCATTGCGCTTCACCTAATGACCACTATTTCAGCCCTTAAATATTCCCCAAAGTATAATTTGGCACTGAATTGGTTATTGTAAACCTAGAAATAATCTTTTCATGGCTAAATATCTTTAAAAGATCACAATATTTAGCAATGTCCATTTCTTCTCTGCAAAGAAGTCTCGTTTGAATGTCACGCCGTAAAATCTTCTTATGCGTGGATCTCGTTCGGGTCTCAAACAAGTGAAAGCCGTTTCGTTATATTTGGATCGTGAAATAATGTATCTTTCTGATCAAATACCAGTCATCTGTCAAAAGGCCTTGTTGTTATGCTGGAGAATATGAAGAATGCGTATATGTGTCTATTGAATCTAGAATAAGTTTATATACAGTCACGCAATGTGTGTTCGGGGGCTATCGTAAGCTTAATTACATGTAGGTGAAGTATTTAGCACTACTAAAATACTATCATTGTCTGCATGCCGCGGGTAGACCTGGACTTCCCGGATCACCCTTTGACCCTTTGAAATCAAAATATCCCGGAAGACCATCAATTCCAGCTGGGCCCACATCGCCCTTTGATCCTTTAATTCCTTGCACTCCATCGAATCCGCGTTCGCCTTTTGAGCACTGTGTTCGCAAGTTGTAATCGCCACTTTCACCTTTTGCTCCTTTTCTTCCTCTTCGACCACGTTTATAATTACTGGTTCGACCGACATCACCTTTTGACCCCGGAAAACCGGGTTCGCCTTTCATTCCACCGGGAAGTCCTGGTGCTCCTGATTCACCTTTCAATCCTCCGTCACCTGGTGGACCCCTCGCCCATTGTCCCTTGGCTCCAGGAACGCCGGGTGCACCGTCCAGACCGGGCAAACCCCTATCACCCTTCAATCCTGAAAGTCCTTGAATGCCAGGGTATCCGCGATCACCCTTTTCACATTTTTGTTCCATGCATTTAGCAGTCATTTCTTTTCTCAGCTGCGCGAGTAATTCATTTAGTTCACCTCTTGTCACAATGTACCTAGCATTGATTACATTTGGATCCCGAACATCGTTTGGTTCAGCATTAGTGTAAAGGTATAGCGTTGCAGCAAACAATGCAAACTGAAGCAACATCGTAGATAAATCTTAATCGCGCTTGTTATTAGTTACACCCGTATTGATTTAAAAACTGCACAGTATTACTTGGGCCCTTGTATATTCAACATGGTGTCAAATTTTAAGTAGTTAAAGATGTAGACTAATCATGTTGCGATGTTTTGGTAATGTATTTTCCGCCATTTCCGTGATTTGCGTATCTAGCTAAGGAGACAAACTCGAGATTCGTTTTCAATTGAAGGAGATAGGTGTACTTGATATTGTACATCCAACTCCATCCACAACATTACTAAAATTCACGACTTTAGATTAATGCCTAGATCACATAAGCTCCGATTCATCGGCAGGCGATTTATGATAAAAATGAATGCAATTCTGGACAAAGTACTCAATCGCCCAGGCGCTGGGAAATGAATCGGAGCTCATGTGATCGAGGCATGAGTGTACTTTGTTCAAAAATGTTCAAGACTCAGAGCAGTTCGAATTTTCATCATTCCATGTTATGTCTATTTTCTTAAATGTTCAACTGTCCCGTGACTTTATTTCTGTGCGGTACTTCGATTTGCCAGATGATCTGTCAAAAATGAGACGTCGCCTTTATCGATTCAATCCAGACATTTATGTATCTCAAAAAGGTACGGAGTATATCATCTTAAATATTCAATAACTGTGTGCAATTCTACATCAGATATCTCGCTCAATGCATATTTTCAAAAATAAAATCAGGATTGAAAAGATATCATTGGCACGATTTTCAAGAAAACTTTGCATTCAACATTTTACACTCTCTTTCCATTTTCATTCTTCTCTTAGCTAGTTTTGTCCCTCGAGACAATGCTTGCTTTCATTTCGCGACAGGAATTGCAGAGGATATGTTTTACTTTGTTATTGAAACAAAGAACATTCAACACAGGTCTGCATTTTTAACTTTGTGGAGCATGTTTATGTTATGATAACCTAGAAAACTGGAGATGTCAAGTTGAGTCATCTTTCTTCGAATTCGATATGTTTAAAAGTACTACTTGGAATAGTAGTTGTTTACTGGCAATACATTGTAGGTGGCTTCGTGCTATAGCATAAGGACGATCATTTGACGAGTGTCGAGCTTTTAATAGGACATAAATATTGATATCACACTCTTAAAAGCCCAGTGCTTATGATATTCTGTACAGCACTATTATCTATAGCTTCATAATCGAAATCTATAGCTTAATTCAAATCAAAATTCTATAAAAGGTGTGGAGGTTGGTAGATGTACATGACTATCACAGGCTATGCCAGAACCATAGACCGGGTACATCCATAAAAGAAATTGAGTCTGAGTTCTCTAAGAAAACCATTTTTACTCTTCTACTTTCGGACTCCAAGACCCACGTATTTATACATGTTCTTGGCACTATTCTGGCCAATACATTAAATGAATGTATTTTCTTATACTGCTGTTTATGTCAAAATGATATATTCCAGGTTCTACGAATAGATGCCACGTTGGATCTTGGACGCAGTTTAAATCCTGCAATAGACATTGGACAAATAGATGGCGCTTTTGTTATGGTAATAAATACAATGTGGTCCAAAAAGCGAATCCTTGCAACAAGCTATATCTCTGTTATTAGTGACCTTTATTTTACCAAGAAAAACTTTACTTTCCTCTTAAACGTGCCAGAATATTAGCCCAACTGAAACGGGTAATAACCGAGATATATCTTATTGCAATGTTTCACTTTTTGGACCACCCTCTATTAATTCATTTATGATAATATAACCTTGGTATGTAGGAATCAAAACATGTTAGTCTCAGTCAAAACACATTGGATACTTTGCATTTTCGACAATTCTCTTTGATTGGACAACCAGTTAGAAATTTCAGATGTTTAATCAATGTTTCTCAACATTTTTTCCAAGAAATGAGTTGGCAGATATTATTATGAGTGGTACCATGGGCGTTCAAGAGATAAAATGCATGGCGGTACCTACATGTACAGTAGTTGTAGCTCACCGTGTATTTTTTTTACGTGAATGATGATGAAAATGATTTCTGGCTTTAAATATTCAAAACCACTTGAGTAAAACATTTTGGTTGTCATTGTCAGGGTTTTAGAAATAAATTATTAATATATACATCTAAACCAAAAATGGTATAACTTTAACATTATCTCCTTCCCAGAGGGAGTTACAATTACCTTTCTCCTTATATTTTCTTTTTAAAGGCTTTTGGTTTGTTCGTGTCTGAGAAATTGGAATATGATGAGAATGGTTTCCTTGTGTCCAAAGATACTTCCTCCTACCATATTCCTGGTTCAAGGGATATCCCAACACAGTTCAACATACAACTTTTCAACACTGACAGCAAAGAGGCGGTGCTATATGGCTCTAAGGTACATGTATGTCTTACACTTATCATATACAGTATACAAGTAATAAAAGCCTACTTTATAAAAAAAGATATTGAGATACATTAACAAGTAAACATTGAAACTGAAAATGGGGGCATTCACATTTTCCATTCGGAACTGTTGAACATTTAGAAAATAGGCATGCCATGAGATGCAAAAACTATTTTGGTCAAAACTAGCTTTCAATTTGTCATTTTCCTTTTGTAATACTTCCTTTAAGGAATGCTTTACATACAGCTGTTCTGGTTTTCTATAGTTATCAAAAATGTTTATATTCAAATACTGATATAGGGAGTAGGTGAACCTCCAATCCACATGGGGATAGCAGCCTTCATGGCCATCAAAGATGCAATTAGAGCTTCTCGTAAAGAAAATGGTGTGGATGGAAACTTCCAACTTAATAGCCCTGCAAGTTCTGAACAAATATTCCACCTGTGTTAAGCTAGTAGCACCTATCCAAGTGGAATATAAGTAAATATGAGCAGTTCTTAGGAAGAACAGGAACAAAAAAGAAGAACACAGAGAGGGCAAAGTCGAAGAACAAAACATTAATAAATAAGTTTCAGTTTTATGAGTGTATTATATCACAGATTCACCCATGTATACTAAAAATACATTTAAAATGGGCTTCACTCAATGATGACTTATGAGACGCTTATTAGAGATATTTCGCATCTAGTGAAAGTACAACTTATAACGTATACTTATACTTATAGGTAAACGTACAAGGTGTTTCATAATGTATGCTTTTCGTCAGGAAAGATCTTCTCGAACTGTAATAAATACAGGTCAAAGGGATGCCATTTGTACTTTCTTGAATTGTAGCATGTTAAGTTGATCCAAATGTCTTTGTCTAGAATAAAATAGGCTCATATATAGTACATATGACGTTATAGACCCATCTCTTCTCAAATTGACTTTTTGGAGATGCTCGTTATGAAACACCCTGTATGTCATATGTTGAGCTACTGAATTTACTGTTTCCAGGAATTGATAGAACCTACTGGCTTGATTGGTGTTTCTTGATGGTTAAAGTATTTGATTGGATACTGTTCCCACTCAGCCAATTAATTTCAAAAAAATCTACGTAAATATACCGCTTTGTAAGTTTATTGAACTTATACTGATCGTGAAAACATTGAAATAATCAACTTGTTTATGTAATGACTCACTTTAAAGGGACCCAACACCTTACAAAACTTCTCAACGGATAGGAATAAGGGAAAATGCTTGCCGGATTCTGAATCTATGTATTTTTTAGTGATTTTTCATCGTCTTAGTATTTCAATTTTTTCCTTTGATAAAATGAGATTTGCATTGTTTTCCAATTAGAAAAATGAGTAAACATGAATAGCTCGAAATCTAACGGTGAGATTTTGTTTTAAAAAATCATGGATATCAAGGCTAAATATAGCTATACAGTAAACATAAAAAAAGCAATGCTTGGACTCTTCATATTCACACAAAAAATTAATTAGTAAATGAGGTTTGATATTTGTGAGAATAAGTTGTACGAGGTACAATGCTCTACAAACACCAGACTACAGGGTGGATTAGGATCAATGACACACATAAAAATTAATTTCAAAATATTTCATGATAATTATCTCAAACAAAAGCAGTTAGCGAAGGATACGTTTCATTACACTCAATAAATAGTTATCACTTTTGACTATATATACATATCTCATCTCATACATATCTCAAGATATCATATTTTAGCTTCGAAAATCACAATCGTTGGAGAATACATTTGTCTCAGAATGATAGGCCACCCTGTAGCGATGTAGCTTTCACTTGAAGTGTACCCTTGAGAATAATGAACTTACTTTCAAATTGGTCTTGCTTTTGTGGTGTATGTGGCTTTTTAGCAAATCTGCCACGCTCATTTCTTTCCAGAACCATCTTGTTCAAATGTATCACTGTATTATACGCGCATGTATAGACAGATGACATAGATATACATATAAATTATATATTGCACCTGTATTTACTTACATGGGAATATATTCCCTTATGGGAAAATGCAAATGCATGAACATATATTTTCATCTTATATATGACTTCAAGCTAACATATTATTTCATATTTATATTTTCATAGTTAGTTTAACATGAATAATAGATCCATGAGAACAATATTCTTTGTTTTTTTTAAATTGATGGGTTTACTGTGAATTCAATAAATTACAATTTGCAAGAGGTAAGTATACTGTATGAGCTAGCTAGTGGCTTTGTATTTTATGTTAGGCCGGGGAAATTAAATTAGTTGTTTCTCTTTCTTCAAATTTTCAAAATTGATACGGGAATGACGGTTTTTATATTACCTTTTTGTCTATCTAAAATGCTGATGAGGGACGGGATGATCTTTTTCTTTAAAATAACTGTAAAAACAAATAACTAATTTTGAAGGAAATAAACTGAGTTTATGTTGAATTTATATGTTGAATTTAGCCTACTTTACTGGTATATTTGATCATATATCAGTACCACGATATTGTCAATTATCCTGATCCATAAAAAGTTTAAAAAAGTGTTTCACACGCCATGGATGCGCGCGAGGTACGGTGTTTTTTCTCAGAAATGGCAGAAAAAGGTGGAGGGGGGATTGGGCCACACGCGGGCAAGAATGAGAAACAACTAATTTAATTACCCTAACCTTAGTTCATCCAGTAGTCAGTTTTTACTGCAAAGTAGTGTTTTTATATGCAGCTTAATAGCATAAAATATGTTGAATGAAGCATATGGTGTGGATTAGTCGTGTGACACACAAACTGACCAATACATGAGGGTATTAGCTTCTTTTCACATAAA